ATACTATCTCGCTGGACCGACCTCGTGTGAGATTTCCATCCTCACAAATAGCAGAGTGGTGTTGAAACATATCCGTACTCACACTCTCGCCGTCAAATAATTTTTTTAACGATCGTTCCATGAGTAACTTCGACAGTATAATCGAAATAAATTTTAATACTTCATAGTCTCTCATGAATTGACGAGGAGTATCTTAAAATTACTCAAAGCTAAAATACAAAAAAATGCATTCTTTAAGAGAGCCCCCATTAGAAGACCCTAGATCCTCAGTATATGAGGCACTTGAGAAAATTGTTTTTTTTTGAATTTTTTATGTACTTTTGAAAGATCATACTTGGAAACTACCAGACTCAAATTATTAACTCATTTGGGTGTCTACTCTTTCTATTCACTCGCATCTCCACATCCACACACACCAGTCACGCATATTATTAGTCATTAATATTTGGTGATCTTCTCAGCAAGATAATTTATTGTTTTTTTTTGTGCTATAAAGGAACTTGTTTTATGAACGTTGGCAAAAAAATATACGGCAGCAATTAAAGCTCTTGTCGTTGCTCTGGACAATTGGGGTCTTGTCTAGAGGAAACAGCCTTAGAATTTATTGCCATTTGCTGCTCCCTCTGCTCCCTTTGCTCCTCTCGCTTTCTTTTTTTCGAAAGAGAAACAGCGGGAAATAGTATAATACCACTGAAAACTGTGCAACCACCAAATACAAGATAGGGCCAAAGAAAAGGACGCGCAAAATGTGAAAAAGCGTCTCGCATTCCTCCTAGAAATAATACATGGTTACACAAATGAAAAAATATATTTAAAATTCATAATCAAATACTTACCAACAACCGGTGTTCCAATCGCAACTGCAACGCCAACAAAAAGAGAACTAAGACCTAAGGCATTCGTTAATTTCTTGTCACCGGCTATTTCGGTAAGAACAAGCGGTGTTAAAGCAACGGAACCGCCTGAAAAGAAGCCAAAAAAAGATGCATAGCCTATATGTTGAATAACAGAAGAGTCACATAATGGAGCTGCCATAGTAGCTACACCAGAAATAATCATTGTTAAAATAAATAAGTAAATACAATTCACCTATGAGATGCAATAAATTTCATAAAATACTAGTTTGTATCACAACACATTTTCTTACCCATTTTAGATCACCTAAACTACCAATAATAAGACGGCCGAATATGTTCGACAAACCAATTGACATAACAATATATGTTCTTTGATCTTTTATAACTTTTGCATCATTTGCAAGATCATCAGCAAAATTATACACAACATTGAAACCTAGACTCGACAGAAAATTCGATATAGCAAATAGGGTAAATCCAACATTTTTCAATAACGGCAGATCGATTTCTTCGATTACTTGACCAAAAAACGACTTGGTACGTAGTTCCTCAATGGTAGCATTTTGTAGCACCAGTTTGTCTTCTTATAAACAGATCAATTGATGAAAAAACAATATTAATCAATGCAAAGAGGAAAGTTTTATAGGCGAATTTACCCTCAGTGGTGTTATCTTCCGATTTTGCAGGTGCATTTGGGTGATCAGCAACTTGTTTTTGTTTAGATTTTTCGCGTACTTTTCGTTGTAGGTGTTTCTGATGTCTTGGTTCGTTTGATCGATACATCTAGGCAGAGAATTCATTGTTATCATCCTGGAAGATGATGCAAAAACTGCTTATCATTGAAACAAAATCAGCATTGAATTGCTATTCGTGTATTTTTGATATCACCTCAAAAAGTAGGAGTATGATAAACAATGCATGTTTTCAATCTTTCGAACTATATTTTATCGTACTAAATTTAAAAATCCGTATCGATACGCCTATGATTTTTGGCGCCTCTAATAAGTGAGAAAGTGCAGAGGAAAACGTAATCAATTACCATCGTAGAGCCACACAGAATACCAACTAAAATGATACCAGCTTCTACAAACAATGCGGTCGGATAATTGATCCACGAGCGTATATTAACGATCTCATTCATAATATAGGAAAATACAAATGTACCTACACCTGAGCCACATACAGCGATACCCATCGCACGTCCATATAATCTATCAAAATACAACTTAATAGAGGCTAAGGCTGCCAAGTACATTAGTCCCAAACCGATGCCTAAAAATATCAATATATGAATGAAATTAAAAAAAAACAGTCTCAGTCTTTTTCCTATCTTCTTAGAATACTTTTGAAATATGTTTTGAGGGTGTGGGTGTGAAGTGATGGAACAAGGAAGAGACACTAGCACTCACCCACCCCTCGCCCGTACTCACTCACTCACACCCACGATCACATCCTCAAGATGCGTTCGTCACCGACCGACTTTATCTATGAAAAAGCATACCTCCGATGACACCAATCGTAACATAGTAAAACCAGATGTTGGTCCACCATACACTCAGAAAAAATCCGAAAGAAGCAATGCAAGCACCCGCAATAGTTACTTTACGACATCCATATATATTAGTAAAAACGGCTGCGATTGGTCCTAAAAAGCAGAAACGTGAGTTTACAAAACAGAACTTATTTCACAGCAATAATAGCAGACCTACACCGAGCGTTACAGCCGGCAAAATACTGAAAATACTTCCCACCGAAGCTCGAGTGTCGGAAAGTTCCATCATCATGGGTTCTAAGAAGACTTGACCCATCGAATACGTTATTCTATTTGGTTTCCGTATAAAATTGTACGCGATATGAGAAAAATATTGCTTACCCATCCATTATAAAATGGGTCACGAATGCTGAAATGACAATAACCCATCCCCATCCACCATCAAACTTCAATGGTTTCACACCTGGAGCTCCTTGTGCCCCATCTGGAACGCTTTGTTCCCCATCTGAAACGCTTTGTTCCACACCTGAAACGCTTTGTTCCTCACCTGGAACGCTATTTGCCTCATTACTGACCATTTTACTTTCTTTTTTATTGATTGTTTATTCTAAAATAGTAATCCGAATAATACGTACTAAGGTAACAAAATAACAGCTATTCTTTATGAATGAATGAATATATATATGATATACTGTTGATTATAGTCTGTTTGCCAAAATGGTTATAAAGAAAGCAACAGACATTCGATATTTTTTCGAAATTTAGCCTGTTCTTATATTTTATCAGACGAGATATGCTCGAATATTTGTTTTCGTGTTTTATCAGTGAAAACAATGCAAATTGAAAAGAAACGAATATGTAAGCATTTTATAATATGACGCAATCTCTTACAGATTTGACTATGGTGGGAAAAAGCCACTTAGACATTGCCATCCATTCTCATTCATTTGCAGCCATCTAGAGGGCGAGGGTGTGGATGAAGAACAGATCAACACTCACCCACACTTACACCCTCAAGATATCAAACGATTGTGCAAGATGTAAGATATATACTCATGGAGAAAAATAGTTGGCTCTCAGTTGATAAGTGCGAAGCGGGGTTTTTTCTCTGATACTGATGTGAACTTTCCCTCTATTTACCTTGACTATTTTTTGCTATACTGTCTCTTGTAACACTTCAAAATTTTGATAAATGAATTACAAGTGCAAGTATGACTAGGTCTTTTTATTTTATCTTTCTAACATGTTGTTTTCATCCGCTGGATTGCAGATATTTGCTAAGGTGTTTTGTTTAATTCATTTTTGTTCTCTTCTCTCGAATCCTTGCCAGCCTTCTTTTTGTTGATGGATATAACTCATGTAGTTATATGAGATAATATTTGCTAAAGCAAGTCGATGAATAATAAATTTCGTCTATGATATTTGACGATTCTATACGAAGTAGGTATGCATAGGTGTGAGAGTATCGATATGGGTATGAGTATTATATCCATCATACACCTACATCCTCAAAAAAGAATATTTTAAAATCTTCCAACACATGATGTAAAAAAAAAAGTATTAGTTAAAAATCGCGGTGTAACCATAGTCATATTACTGTAAAAACTTTGGCAACTACCAGTGATATTTTTTAAACTCACATCCTTACACTTATCATCTATATTCTAATACCGAAAAGAAACAGCATCATTCTCAAACACAATAGCAGATTGATTGCTTTCTAAATAACTTACTAAATTAGTTTACAACTGTTTAACATAAGATGTCTAATTATTTTTTAAATTAGAAGCACAAAAGAAGCTAACTAAAAAAAATATTTCTTGATTTGAAAATTGAAATGTCCAAAACTTGTAAATTGAAGTTCAGTTTTAATCCCAGTCGTCATCATAACCATCATGATCAGCACTATCATCATCACGATCAAGACGAAGATTGGTAGAACGATCTAAACCATTCTTCAAGTGTTTTGCATATGATGGGTTCGATGATTTTCCAAGCTTATGGCGGTCGAATTCTAGAAAAAGCTTTTGAATTGTATATAGTAAGGTATGACTATAAGTACGTGTGGTCAAGTAACAAGTAAATAGATATTTACATTCACTCAACGTTAATTCAAATTTTTTCCTAGATATACTCAGTCAGAAATAATGCTTTGGTAAGAAGAAGAGATAAACCACACCCACCTTATACAAACTATGAAGTCGTACAAAATTGTGTTTACTTACTGTTATGTCGTTGTTGAAGAGTTAAATAAATCAAATGTTTTTTCTTTTTTTCGTCAAATTCCATTCGATCAATCGTAAAAGAAACACCAGGAAATAATAATTCTTCTTCTTCATCAGGATATTGAGATAGCGAACTAAGATCAACAGTAAAAGCAACAAGAGTTTTCATAATAAATAAGACATTGCCAAAACCCTCAGCGACTTTACGATTACGTGAACAGGAAGTAAATGCTTGAAAAGTATGCCATGATTTTTCACATTCTTCTTTGAATGATGTAATTAATTCGTCAGGTACATTGGCTCCTCGATAGAGTAATGTGTCTGGCTTGATCATCTTTCTATTAAATGGATTATCCCATAGAAGTAAACAAAATGGACCCAAAGTACTTATTTTACTTCGCCAGATTTGTTCATGTTGTTCACTTCCTATCAATCGCATGACTTCATTTAATTTCTTATAAAGAAAACTTTCCAAAGTATAAAGATATGCACAACATCGCCACACTTCTTTCATTCCTAAATCTTTCTTTTCTCTTAAATTCTTTACTAATTTTTCCGCTTCAGTTTGTTTGCTCATTTTCTTTCCTTCCTCAATAATACCAAGAACTGCTTGATCAACAATCATTGGAACAATTGATTTATTTTTCGAAGGTAATTGGTCTTTTGTAATATTCAGATGATTTGCTACTTCTTTTATAAAAGGTGAAATAAAACCATACCGATCACCGAAAGGACGATCGGGAGCAATTGGATTAGGTAGAAATCTATCTTCTCGTAAAAAACTTTCATTTTCGGTGTATATTTTTCGCTTGACTTGTCGTTGTTTATTAACATCATTATTAGAAATTTGAACGTTATTCTTAAAATCAATATGATAATCATCCAACATAGCATGAGTTTTACCAGCTGAAAATTCTTCTTCAATAATTAGATTTTCAACATCTGAATAATAACACCAATTGGCTGATTCTGATTTTGAGAATGGATCTGCATTAGAATTCCACATCCATTTAAAACGCGTGGAGGATATATTCGATGCATTTTTTGTGTTAGCCATAATCCTATCAAAACTCTCTAAACGAGAATTACCCACAGTTTATGATCAGCAAAATATATTGCGTTATTCTTTAGCTTGAGGATGCAAATGTAAGTGGGTCTCCTTGATCTTTTCCTCTCTATACGTTTGCGATCTCTGACAGTTAGAAGATATTTAGAAGGATAATAACGACTCGGGTGTTTCTAAAATGATGATTGTTGTTTTATCTTATTTACGCAACTATTTTCTTCATTAAAAATAACACATGTTCGAAATTAAATTTATTTTAAAAGTCTTAATTTGTACTTCATAATATAGTTTTCACTAAAAATCTTATCAATAATATTTACCGTTGAATTGATGGTATTCCTGTGTTTTTTCCGTAACAACAAGCAAATGACAGTTTACTTTAAGATTGTTGCTCTATTTCTTTTACGGTATTGCACAAGTCTACAGTAAGAATTTTGTTTACAACTTTTTTTTTTCTTTCAATTTATTATGCCATTTTTATAAGAGAGGAAAGAGAAAAATAATTACTCTGTTAACATATAAACTTGGTTACATGAATTGACTTTTATAAGAAGAGAAAAGTAACGTGACGCAATACATAGAAAATATCTTTATGAAAATTTTTAATATGATTTTCGAATTTTGTTTCCATGCCATCAATAAAACTTTAAACCAATATACAATCTTTGCATATTAAATAGTTCATCAAAATTTACGATAATTTAATTAACATTCAGAATAATAAATATATCGCATATTCGAATGATGTTTATAGAAAAAAACAAATATTGATTTACATTTTTTATTGTTATATATAGTTATTTTTTTAATTATCTCTCATTCTTTATTACTGAATTATGATATCCATTAATAGTAAGAAAATTATAAATTAATTGAAGATCTTCATTACCAAAAGATACAAAGGTTTTGGACTTTCTTTAAGCTTTGCTACAAAATAAAAAAATAATCGATGAACATTTTTCATAGATCTTAATATGAAAATAGTAGAGAGGTCACTGCAATATAAAGATTCTCTGACTAGTTGAGGTAACACTTTAAATGTAATCGGTAAAGAAAGGATAAGATGCCATTCCTGGTGACTAGTGAACTCATTCAAATGACAGTCTTTGTGTGAATTCGTATTTTACTCATTAATGGAATTCATAAAGTAAATAAGATACTTTAAAGAGTAGAATAAGTTGTAATGTTTGATGCCTGGTTTGCAACTATATCATTATCTGAAGAATATCAAAGTGTATGCAAATAAAAGAAAGAGTAACAAAGAATAGAAATTTTGATCAAATCCACAACAATGATGATTGTCATACAGCTACTATTGAGGAATAAAAGAGAATACTGAAAAGATTTTCATTAAAATTGGTTAATTTTTCATAGTTCTAAGAAATAAATATCTCTCAATGAATTGTTCGTCCGCTGATGTATTTCTTATCGAAGTGAGTCTAACTTGTCAATTGGTCATATATTGAGAAGTAAAATAAGTAAATAGAGAAATAGCATCCCGCTGTAGTCTAATGATATGATCTCCGACTGTAGAAGTAAATAGAGCGCAGAAATCGGATGGTTTCGGTTCGATTCCGAGCGGCGGGATATATTTTTATTTTTATTGCATCAGTTTTGTCTTATGCTTTGACTACATTTCAAATTTTGATGATGCAATCATTTCTTCTTTGTTTTCTTCAGTGATTCATACAGGTGTTTTGTTTATCGATTGGAAAGACAAAATTTCTTTCCAACAAGTTTACAATATTTGACTCTTCTTGAATCATTTTTGTCTTGATACTTTAAAAGTCATATGAAGATATTCTTAACAAAATCTAGTTGTCTTTAAATTTTCGAGAGTGGGTGTGGATGTTATGATCATATTTTATTTACAGCCACACCCACAGACACCCTTTATTCACATATAAAACAAACTAAACACACGTCTTTTGCAATTAATATAAAACTTTTATGTGACTGTTTCGAATGAATTGGGTTGGTTTGGTGTAAGCAAGATTTTCTACAAAATAAAAAGAGTTTCTTTGAGATGATATTGTGATTGATTGATTTCTTGAGCAATGATCAGATTAAAATGTTCATTTTTAAACCGACTCTTCATTTATCTGTGTTAAGAGTTGATCAATCTTATCCATAACTGTGAATATTTCGAAATTTGAAACAGATTTAGATTGTTCATAGATCGTTAGTATTCGTTGATAATATTTTAAAGCTATTTGAAGTTCATTAAGATCTTCATAACATTCAGCGATATTTGCTAAGCTGTCAATAATATCTTCATGATCTGGTGAGAAAACTTTTTCGATGATTGAATAATATTTCATTTCATATATTAATGATAATTGATATTCATGTCGAGTTCGATTAACTTGAGCAAGATCTGAAAGAGTACCTGCAATGGATAAATGTTCTGGGGAGAGACTAGCTTCTTTGATGTGTAAACATTGTTCAAGATATTCAATAGCACGATGATAACATCGTTTTCGAATCCAAATAGATGCAATCCATTTGAGACCAATGGTAAGTTCAGAGTGATTAAGTGGATCATATTCTCGAAGTAAAGCAACTGCTCGAGAAAAATCATCATGAGCTCCATCAAAATTGCTTTGTTTAACTTTTATTCGACCAATATCCATTAGAATATTTACAACGGTTGTATACGAAGATGGTAAATATTTTTCTCGGATTGTTAATGCTCGATAGTAAAACGGAAGTGCTTGATCATATTTGTCCTGTTCATTTAGAAGAATACCCATATTATTCAAACAAATAGAAAGTTCCAGATCTTCAGATAAACAGAATTTCTCATAGATGACTAATGCTTGTTCATACATATCAAATGCTTCGTCATAGTTTTTTTGATCGCTAAGAATATTTCCTATAAAAGCAAGACTAGTTCCAATACACATGTGACCAGATGGATAGAGTTCTTGTCGAGTTACAAGTGCTCGTTGATGATAATGAAGAGCTTCATTAGGATTTCCTTGTTCAAGTAATGCATTGCCAATAGCACATAAACATACGGGAAGATTTTCACAATCAGACGAAGGATTTTCTTCAAAAATTTGCACTGCTCGACATAGATACTTCAAACCTTCATGATATTTTTTTAGTTGGATAAGAGAAGTACCAACATATCGACAAGAAAGAGCAATGATATCAAAATTCGATGAATGATATTCTTCATAGATTTTTAATGCTTGCTGATAGAAATCCAAAGATTCATCAAACATGTTCTGACCATATCGAATATGACCAATAGAATGAAGACTTTCTGCAATATTAACGTCGGACAGTGAATAAATAGTTTTTTGGATATTTAATGCACGTTGTTGGTAATCAAATGCTTGTATGTAGTTTCTTTGTTTGCATAAAACATCAGCAATATTACAGAGCATCGTGGAAATCGCTTGATAATTTAATGAATCGAATGTTTCTCCAATTTCCAATGCTCGATGATAAGAATGAAGAGATTCATCGAATTTCTTTTGACTATTAAAAATATGTCCTATATGGTTAAGATTACGAGCCATATCGATAGGAGCAGTTTCATTTTGTTTTTCTTGAATTGCTAATGCTTGTTGATGATATGTTAAGGCTTCATCATATTTGTCTAATCGATAGAGAACATCACC